TAAAAAAAAAAAAAAAAAAAAAAAAGTTTGGGATTATGTACCTTCTGGAGATGAAAGGAACGACACCAAATGTAAGTCCACACGCAGCTTGAACAAAGAGAGAGAAAATGATCATAATGGCAATGGAAACACTCAAAGACTGAACCAACCCAAGAATCACACAGAAAACTCCGCCCAATGTCTGCACCAACCACAAAGCCCACAGCCTCCCCCTCATCCCGTATCTCTTCGCCACCACGTCCGACAGTATCCCACCGTACGGCCTCGAAAAAAGGTTAGCCAGCCCAAAGCTCGCCGCTATGATCCCTGCCGTGTGCAGGTTCAAATTGAACCTATCGTAGAAATAATTCGCTATAATATTGTCAATCGTTAATTCCACCCCAAAACAGTACCCATAAGTCAATGCCAAAATCCATCCCCTGTAATTCTTCGCCCCATTGTACACCACCGTTGAAAATTTGTCTTTTGCCTTCTCCCCTGTTTTCTGCAGCTCCCCGAAGTTCCCGTCCGGCGTGTCCTCGCCGAGCATCAGAACCGCAAAGGCCGAAAGCGTTTGGAAAATCGCTGGGATGAAGAAAGCGATTCTCCACGCGGTGAATTTCGTTGCGCCGATTTGCTCGATGATGGCGAACACGTACGGCATAATCAGCTGTGTTGCGCCGCCGCCTAAGTTCCCCCAACCGCCGGCTACGCCATTGGCGGTGCCGACGACGGTGGAGGAGAACATTGAGCTCATCCAGAATTGAGTCGAGACGAATGTGGCGAGAGAGAATCCAGTGAAAAATCGAACGAGGAAAAACGAAGCAGGGGATGAAGCTATGGAGGTTAAATAAACTGCCGGCGAGGTTATGAGGATGAGTGAGGCAGAGGCGAGACGTGGTCCGACTAAATCGCAGGCGGAACCCATCATGATACGGGCGAAGACAGCGCCGGAGACGGAGGCGATTCCGGCGTTCCCAATGTCAGTGTCGGTTAAATTGAGATTGTCGCGGATCACCGGAAGCAGAGGAGCTGCCGCAAAACTGGAAACGAAACAAGCGCAGAACGAAATCCAGGACAGGTGAAACGTTCGCATGTGGGGAGCTGCGACGGAGAATATATTGAATTTGGTGGATTTGTGTTCGGAGTCCACCGGAAGAGAGAACTTCCTGGGCTGAGCCGCCGGTGCTCCGCCTTGAACCTCCATATTCACGGCTGAATTTTGTTTAAAATTGGGAATTTGGGAAATTATTTAAAGGGAATTTGGGATGGCTCTTTGAGGGATCGAAAAGGGGAAGATTGGAAGCCGGAAAATATGGTGGAATAGGCCAAATCTCAGCCTTATACCGACATAGTTATGGACGCAAATTGGTTTTACTCCAAACAAAAACAACGACTTAGAGACATGAAGAAGACGATTGTATACAAAAAGATGAATATATGCGTATGCATGAGGTCACCCAATACTAACTAGCCATGCCAACTCACCATTTTTTAATAATAAGGTCTATTTCTCCCTAAAATTACAACTATACCCACCACAGGATATTCATCAAAGTCGGAGATTAACCTTAGTTCGTTGTGAAAAGACCGTTGTATCCATGTGATATGTGAGGTCGGATGGCCTTGGACACAAAAGTCAACACACAGGATATACCCTCAGATTCTGATCTTTACATTGAAAAGTCCAGTCTGTCCTTGTCATATACGACAAAACGGGAATATACCCACACAGATTATCCAAAAAGAAAAGGTATTGACACCAAACAAAGTTACCTTATTTGCAAAACAAATTGTAATTCAAGAATTTAATTAGCTCGGGCTATTAGTTCGGTTACATTTTTAGAAAATAAAAAAAATTCAATTCTTTTATCAATTCGACTAACCTAAAAATTTAATTGATAAAATTATTAAAAATATTTAATATTTATAATCGAGGTCAGTAGATTATCTACTGGGTTAGAGAATTTTTAATACAAAGGTCAACCGAAGATATTTAATTGAAAGAAATAAAGTTGGGACTGTAGAATATTCAACCATGAAGGTGGGACCACTCCCAAGTATCCAAGAATATTCTGCACCACTTTTTAAATTCAATTTATTTGTTTATTCATATTATATGAATCTGGCTTAAGATTCATAGTCAACTTCGTGGTTGGCTCAAAGGTTGCCTAAGTCAATCCTTCCCTCCTATTAAATAAAATAATATTTTCTATTCCCAACCAGAATCAGCCACGTGGACCCAGTGGCATTATTATACTTTTTTAAAGTACACAGTGCCGGAAATTTGAAATTCAAATTGTTTTTTTTAATTATTTTTTTTTGTTACAATTACATGATATTATCTACTCTGAGTATAGCTTTCATGACTTTGTTTTGGGCTTCTTCAAAAGATATCACTCTAATGTAAATAGTATTTTTTAATTATAAATTCATGATTACTCTCTAAATTAGTCGATCTGGACTTCTATCATCCAAACTTCTAATACATGTAAGAGCCACGTCTTGAAATTTGTTAAAAGAAAATCTTGTGAATAAATAATTTTTTTAAAAAAATTGAAGTCCTCAAATAGAGCCAATTTGCTATTTAAAGCTACGGAAATACCGATTCTAACCCTAGAATCAAGGAAAGGCTCACAAAACTAGCCGTTATTATTGGGCAGTTAAGAAGGCACTGAAGAGCATATAAGGACCCAAACACGCCAAGTTCACACAGACCCTGAGGAAGAAGTTGAAAAACAAACAAATAAATAAATAAATAAATAAATAAATAATCCCAAAGTCATTTATTTTATTAAATAAGAATGGCTGAAAAACACATGGTTTTGCTCTTTGTCGCGGCCGCCGTCCTCGCCGGGCAAGCTGACGGGACCGACATCTGTGAGAAATCGGAATACGCGTCGCTGTGCCGGTCTTCCGTGAAAGGCGCCACCGAGCCGGCAGCCGGGTTGCAGGCAGCGATTGAACACCTGATGTCGGAAACAAAACAAGCGAAAGAATCGAGCATGAAGCTGGGCGTTATGAAGTGTCTAGACGTGTGCAAACAGAACTACGACGACGCCGTTACGGACCTGGAGAAAAGTCTTCAGTACTTGACGATAAACGACAAGCCTAGCCTGAAAATCAGCCTCTCTGCAGCATTGACGGACTACGTCACGTGCGATGATGCGGTGATGGAAAGCGGCGACTCCAAGAAAGTTGGAGACCTCATGAGCATCGACGTTGTGCTGCGACATATGGCTGCCAATTGCTTGCACTTGGCCTCTTTGTTGAAATAATTTTTCCATCGCTTCGTAGGCCGTGCTTAGGAAGAGGACGGGCGTTTGGGCAGACCGATGTATCGTTTTGGTCTGAAATGATTCCGACTTGTCGTAATGTGATAATCATAGAAGGCGACAGTGGAATCAAATTTCACAATTAGTTTCAAATAAATCTTATATGTATTAAAAGGTGAAATTATTGTTTTACCACGTCACCTTTAATGGATTTAGATATTTTATTATAAATACTTTGTTTGTATACTACGCATATAATAATCTAATGATTTTGATTGTATTCTATAAAATATATATATTCACTCCTGTAATAAAAGACCAAAGAAAGTTGGACTGAATTTTGAAAGGATGGGAGGCTCGGGTGCTCATCTAACCATCTAACCATGTTAATTTGTGCTTGGATAATCTAGGTGGGGCTTCCGTTCAATCTTAAGTGCACATGGCTTTCTATGTGCTATTGATTGTAGTACACATTGGACCTGACACCTTGCTATCTTTATGAGCTTCATCTCCTTCTAGAGACATTGAATAACGGAACGTTGATCTTTATGTGTCGATTCTTTGCCCTTTCTTATTCGATTCGAATTTTTCAAATATTAAATAATGGACTGTCTAGTCAATTTTTTTTTTTCAATTGGGTTCATTTTCAATAAGCAGTCAATTTCGAACTAGCTTCTTTTCAAACTCGACCCATCCAAGGGGGTGAGGAGAAGAGACTCCCTGCACTCTCTCATGTATTCGAGACTCCCTGCACTCTCTCATGTATTCGAGAGTCCCTCTGTAATGGTTATATAATTTTCGCTCTTTAATGGATATATATTTTTTATACTACTAAATATAATATTCCAAATTATACATGAATTACACTAATATTTGAACTTATATTTTGAATTAATATAGATATATTACTGATAAACTTAAATGCATTTTTTTTATTACTTTAGAATAAAAAATTGACTGTAGTAATGTTGGAGCTGTGTATATCATTTATATCCGAAGTCTTGTCATTTTATGCATGTAGCATCCATAAAACGATATAATAAAAGTATATCAAATATATAATTAGTGTACATACATATTTATTTTTCATACATTAATTATGAAGGCAACACATAGTCATTTAACTCAGTAACATTAATTATCTTGTATATTCAAACACATATATTTACATTAAAATGTCTAATATATATACCCATTAAATAATATATGTGATCTTTAATTTTAAAATATTATTTAAAAATGCAATGCAGTTATTTTCTGTAAAGAGTATAGTATTAGTTAATCATAATTTTTTTTTTTTTTTTTTGGAAATTGTGAAAATAATTTTATATAGTTACAATATAATTATTTTGGAAAAAATTAATTTAATTTAAAGGTAAAGAAACATTCAATCTCACACTAGAATCAAGGAAAGCCAAACAAAACAACCGGTGGGTGAGGAAAACTGTTAAAGAGTCGTGTACAGCCACGAAGGCACCGACTTATAAAAACCAAACCATCGCCATATTCCCAAAAGACTAAAATAAAATTAAAAATAAAAATAAAAAAACAAAATTTAAATTACAATGGGTGGAAAGCAGTTGGTTTTGGTATTTGTGGCCGCCGCTATGGTATTGGAGGGCGAAGCTGAGGGAGTCGACATCTGCGAGAAAGCAGATGACGTGTCGCTGTGCCGGTCGTACGTGAAAGGGTCGAGCGATCCTAGACCGGCGATTAAGGCAACGATCGAACAACTGTTGTCGGAAACAAAACGGGCGAAAACATCGAGCGAGAAGTTGGGGGATTCGGATTTCATAGGGGTGTGCACAGAGAACTACGACTCAGCCATTGATGACCTGCAGAATAGCCTACTGAGTTTGGAGAAAAACGACAAGGCGAGTCTTCAATCTAGCCTCAGTGGGGTGGCGACCTTCTACGTCACGTGTACCGATACGGTGTCGGAAGGCGGGGTGCACATCATGAAGATGGCTAAAAAGCTTGTCAAAAAAGATTCTAAGCTGCAGCATTTGGCTGGGACTTCCTTGTACTTGGCTTCTTTGTTGAAGTGATTTTCCCCGTACCTTCCTCCTACTTCATAGGTCGTGCTTAGGAAGAGGAACGGACCAAGGGAGATGTGACCTTTTGGTCTCAAATAATTCGGGTTCTCGGGCTATAGTAATCCAAAAGACCGCCGGTCCGATGTGACCTTTGGTCTCAAATAATTCGGGTTGTCGTATTATTATAATCCAGATCATTTTTTTTTTATTAACCGAATTTCAGATTTTTTTTAATAAAAAAAACCAAAATTAAATAGATGTACGACTTTAGATGAACGTTTTATTTTTCTTTCTATTTTTGTGGATTTATTTATTTTATGTTTAAATATGGATAATTTTCACAATAATTATATTTGATTAGTTGGCCGGGAATTTTCAATTTAGTGTTTAGTTCATTTTTTTAAAATTTAAAAAAATCTTATTCAACTTGTGAAGTTTAATTAAATAAGAATAATTGAAATAAAACTTTGATTTGATTAGAATAATTTATATATTTTCTTAAATTTTAAATTTAAGAAAATGACAAAAATGTCATGGTCGTGGAGGAAGAATTTCAAATAAACTTGGAAATACGTTAAAAAAACATTTAGTTAAATATTTCAATTTAGAATAAATAAATAAATAAATAATAATAACTAAATATAAATTCGCCGGCAGCCAAATCACGCACCTCCGCCCTCCCAGTCCGATGCATCGTAATCTCACTCCCGACAGCACGTGAAAGAATCATACCACGTACTAGCTCAAGGGATTAAACGCTGTCGTCTTGGGTCATGTGGCCCTCTCAAATATTCTCACGTATTTACTCCAAGGATAAAATAAGATCCAGTTTTGAAGCCTATGCAATGTCGATACGACTGCAGGGGTGACTCTCAAGTGGTGCTTACGTGACCATGGAGAATTAAGTGGTGCTTATGTGACCATGGAGAAGAGTGAATCATCTATTCAAGCCAGAACGGGCATACACAAGGTTCAAGAGAACGAGACTTGCCTCTCAAGTGGTGCTCATTTGGCCATGTGAAGGTTAAAATTGAATCGAAGATGGGTTCGAAAAGGATCGGGTAGGACCCTAGACCATAACCTTAGAAGTTGAGGTTTTGACATGAGTTGCAGCATGCGGCTCTAGAGTTAAATCCGTTTATATGAATGATGAAA